GATTTCAACTTCTCGAACGGCAATTCAGCAGGAACATTCGGGAACGCTAGATTCATCACCAGGGAATACAGCTCTCGGCCGCCCAAAGTCAAAAGCAGGACCGACTGATTTTGCATTCCTCCTTTCCTGATGCTGCACCACAATTCAAACCGTTCTACCCACTCTTCGATTTCTGATGGGCTTCCATGCAGGTTCAGTGGTTCAATGACAGGAATCTCCATTGCGCGACGCCAAATTGTAATAAGTGGAATAGTATCGAATTTAGGAATACGAGAATCCGTACTGAACTGCTCAGAACTGAATTGACTCCAACCCGAACTGCGGACACCAATGAAATACACGAGGAATTGATAACAGCAAATGCTTATGTTTATTGATAGAATCAGAGCATGTTTTATAGAAGGCAATAGTTCATATGATTGACTGAAGGGCCGTCGTTCAATTACGTAGCCGTTTGCGCCGACGCATCATATGTACTAACTCGGATGTCACGTTCGCCCAGTGTACCATTGGTTGAGCTTTCTGAACGGTGATTGGATGACATGAAACTGTACCTAGTCGTGCATGGATTGCGGTCACGGAAGTCTGGATTACATATATGCAAGCACCGCGATCGGATCCATATAAAAACCAGAAAACAGAGGTTCCGACAAATATGGTGAGTACAAACACGTGCTAAATACTGCAGAACCAACAAAAAGGAACTCATCAACACCGAATGGACAATACTTATTCAACCAATAAACTTCGCCTGTTCATATTACTTAATTCACTTGGTTTCTTCTTGTAACCGCTAGCTCTGTGGCCTTCTTCCTAACTTCCGGTGGTAGGAAAGTTCGGTCGATGATTATGAGTGGTATTATAATCACATACATGAAGGTATTTCGGGTACTACATACAGTCACCTGTGATTGTGAGTTATTAAAGGGCTGTTAAATTGACATTCCACAAGACATGTTAGGAGCATGAACAGGAAGCGCATCATTCACGTGCGGTGTCAGCAGCAGTGAATCTCAAGAGTGAAGGTGTGCTTTGTAGATTTAACAGCAATGAGATCAGTCAGAATTCCCTGCTCGTTTCACGACACAGGTTCGAATTCAGTGTTACACGGATCCTTGTTTAGTGTCGGCTCTCAAATCTTCTACTTCCCTTTTCAATCAGGTTCGATAATTAGGTAATCAAAGTGATTAAATAAATCTGCAGGTGCAATAACAATCTCATGTACTACTCACATCACGAACGGGAACCTATTCAAATAAGTCCGAAATTATATTTTTGGTGGCATCACCCAAACAACTACCTGTTTGATATTGATCCACTGACAAAAGTAGTCCGGTAGAGGAATGTTCAGATACAGACACTGAGATGGCAACCTGTGGAGCATAGGGACGAATTAAGGTGAGCAAAAAAGAACCCGACAAACGGTGCGGTTGGTACACAAAACATAATTCATAGATGAGGAGCCAGAAGGAGCGAATAATGGATAATTCCTCTTTTTGATGTCTCATAAAGATACCCAAATACTTCGGTCGTCACTTCAAGCAGAAGGGAAAACTGTACTAAAAACGATACACTAATAGGGAAATTGCATGGGCAAGTGTGAATTAACAAATGACATTCGAAGCTGTATATGTTGTTTCAGTATCAGTAGGTAACAGTGTTCTATTTTTCCACGCTTCAAAATTACAGCAAGGGTTGCCATTTAAAATGGTCTGAGACGAAAGAAGTGATATTTTGTGCAATCACTTCAGTTCTATCCGGTCGCAAAGTATGACTTAACGTTTTGTTCTAAGAAACATTTTGAGCAGTAAGTCAGGAAGTTGTGAAGATTCATTTCTCTCGGTCGACATACAAACAAATATGTAGAAAAATAGCATTCGGAAAACTGCTATATATACAGGAATACACCATAAGAAGCACGGAAATTCGAGCAACAAACGTCGAATAATGAATGACTAAATCAAAATCACATATGATTGCTATTGACTGCCTGTCCTTCAGACCCCATCTTGACGCACATCTCAGTCCATCCAGTCAAATACACAACCTGGAAACACCAGCTCCGAGTTTCTTCCACGAGTGAGCGCGATTTGAACTCCGGAGTCTCCACATGGAAAACGAATGTGTTACCAACAAGACAAACAGCTAACAAAGGAACTAATTAAAACTACGGAGTCAAGTTTCTTTATGAACCATCAGCTACCCGTTACAATATCGAACGGAAACAAATCACGCTACCGCAAAACCCCAAACCGAAGTTCCCCTGACGGGTTTAGGGTACATCAGCCCAAGCAAACCTGACAGGCTGAATTCTATTCTCATTTTCAAATCGTGGTTACTTGCGACTAATGGTGACACTGAGGTTAGCTTCCTCGAAACAGAGAAAAAAAACATTTTCACATTATTTACAGTACAGATTATCGCAAAACAAAAGTTATGCAACACAGTCCTTCAGTTGTTATGCGAAATCAAGCTCCTCACGATTAACTGAGTGCAGATAAAAGAGATAGGATGACTTACATTGTTTTTAAGTCCCAATCGCCACAGGTGACAAAAGCGAAACTATTTTCCGGTGACAAAAGTTGTTTTTCAATTAAAAAATTATCGAACATCTGGAAAAAGAACGTTTTAAATTTAAATACTGACAGGATATTTTTAGCACACGATCGAGAGATAAAACGAAATTCATCGAACTACAGCTTTCTGGCACGATGTATAGCATACGTCAGATGAAACTACGTATCTCAAGGAGCAAAACCCACATCCAAGATCATTAACAGTGCTTGGTGCCCGTGAAACATCAAATGGGTTAATCCAAAAATTCTCATAATCTAAATATGTCTCAATGTTTAAAAATTGTCTATTTCTCCAAATGAGGTGGATAATGCTAGAATAATCTAGTGCTTCGGGACAGCACCAGCCAGGGAGCTACGCCGCATATTCTCAGCACGATCAATAGGAAACTAGAATTATGGATCCACGAAATTTGCTGCGGTTTACTTGGGAATACTTCTGGCGCCGGAAGAACACGAGCGCAGATTGATCATCACATACTGATCCAATAACCTTTCCTTATAGAGTGAATGGCATAAATGATAGGTATGACTTTCAGCTGACCGTATTTAGCAACTAACTACACGGGACCAGTCAGTTCAGATGAAGTCCCCGTTGTTACATGCATTTCAGGCCTTCTACATAGATGTTGTGTCTTAACTATGGGTAGACTTGTCGCCTGCAGAAACTGCCATGAAAAGGATAAGATAATGTTATCCGAGCATGACCATCGAGGGGAGATTCTTTTCAGACATCGACAACGAGTAAGTTTTACTTAACATTAGACCAATAACAATGTCCAAATCCCTTACAACTGTCAGGTACATTTGCATAGGGTTCTGATAGAATGAACTGTACCTGTATATCTTCTGTGTTCATCATGGTTTCACGTTATTTAGCTGATTGACTGTTCAAATCAGAGTTCCTGTTACCCCAGTAAAACACCCAGCATTATCCTTTATCAAAATGAGCATTTCATGAAAGCGCAATAAAATTGAACCTTGGAGGCGATCAGTACAGTTGTCGATGAATTACCTTCAAAACATCTGGTAGGCACGGTTGATCGTCCACCATACTCTGAGTGATCCCAGTTAACTAAAAAGAGAAAATGCATGAGAATGAATGAGGACTGCTAACCATCCATAATAGGGGCAATTTGACGAGACGCAACTATCTCACAATACTGCAACCGGTAGGAAAATTTATCTCAGAATAACTATTGCAAAACTGTTTCGGAAGCAAACGGATAGTACGGAATGCACCGTGGAATAGACGCATCTAATTGTGTGCAATGGGTGTGAAATCAGATAATGAGTTGCACCACATGAATATCAGACACTACTTCAACAAAGAGTAAACTTTTCCGGCTCTTCAAAGAGCATAACATGGAAGACTAAAAGCCTGATCCGTGGGCTCAAAATCCTATCTTGGCTGAACTGGTTATATGAAATAGTGATGACAATGGAGCCAGATACACACCTGTCCAAGTCCACGCAGTTTAATTCTTGTTCAATTTTAAAAACAATACTTCGTTTGTTTCTTATGGTCAGTGTAAAATTCCACTAAAGGCGCAACCGTCCTTCTGGTTTCCTTGAACAATGCCTACTTACTGATCTACCTTCTGAAAACACTGGTAACGGATGTGCAATCTACATCGATAATTTGTATGAAGTAACCTTGTAAATGTGCTTGTACAGTCGGGATCACAGCATAAAAATAATTCATTTAGCTTTCGTTAAAATATTTGTAAAAGAATCGGTCTTTTAAGCTTGCTTCCTAAGGTCTTTAACCTTCACTTAGGGTTATTTTCTTTCAAGTGTGTTTTCTATCGCTGTAACCAAATTGTGACCACGAAAATGTGCTAACAACTGGCAATACTATTTGCAGTCAGCAACTCAAACGTTGCTTTTTCCGAAGGTGAAGTTGAGCAAAATGGCGGTGTATTCAGAATGAAGGATATCTGTATAGAAATAACATCGGATACAGGAAATCCCAAATGAAATACCTGAACTCCGGGGGCCAACCATTAAANACACACCATGAGGACACCCTGAAACGTGGATGTCTCTTTCAAAATTTTGAATAACAGTAAACCGAAACATTAGGTTCCATAACAGGTGAAAAATACCGGATTCAGACACCTCATTTTGTTTATTCATTTACGTATTCCTGTGTAACACTGTAGATAGGCCGCTTTGCCAGGCGTTTGTCCAAAAGGATCCACGAGCACCACCCCGCATGGTTAAATACAGGAGCGATTAGGTTATTCACTAGTGCAATAATTTCACACGTAGTTGAAACACAAGTTATAAAATACAAAATACAATAAATGAATCACGCTGTGAATGTGACCAAAGCATTCAGCCCAGTGTATAGCGTTCGTGGTTGACTATCGATGCAGGTTTGATTTCGTGTGCTTTGCACAGCGGAAATGGTAGGAATTCGTTTACATAACCCACCTCTGTGTGCCCCAAACCAATTCGAGTTAATATCTCCGCCACAAGAAGACAGTGGGCAGGAAGTCCTCACAGAAACCATTAGAGACACTTGGTCGTTTGGGAGCATTTCTAGAGGAGTTTGGGCTGAATGGAAATTTCGGAGTCTGCGACACCTGCTACCGACCATACTGAGGCATTTGGAGGCATAACAGGACTCAAACCAAGCGCAATTTCGATGATCTAGATAGAGTAGTGAAATATTGATGTGGTTTCCAGAATGATGATGATGATGACCAACCGTCGAGAATATTGGGGTGTAAATCAATTGCCTAAGCTTAGAAGTATCACTAGTGTGCTTTCTTGGAAAAAGCTTATCCAGTTCTATATTCAGCACGCCAAATAATAATTTGCTTCTTCGGAAATCATGTACAGGTATTACTCTCTTACTGAAGTGCGAACTGAACTGTTAGAGCGTTCGTTGATCAACTCCCTTTCTCTCTCACCTACACTTTTTAGGCCAAAAGAATGTTCGTAAAAAAGAATAAAAGGAAGGTAGTAAGTAGAGGATATTTGAGATGCTTAATTGCATGGGTGCATCTCCCGAGGTGCACAGGAACGATGACCAGTCACAATCTAAGACACCCACCCCGGACCATACTGAGGCTTTCGCACGGAATGATAAATCGGGCACAATGATTCATAGACCTACGACTGCTTGTTAGTTTCGAAATGATTAAAAGTTCCACTAACTCAGAATGAATGGAGTATGCCAGGAATCTTTATGAATCAAATGGTGACAGCCGAAGAGGCTATGCAGTGCAAGGTCACACAGGTAAATAGTGAATCATTAGGACTGACGCTTTAATGCGCACAGTCAAGCCAATATCAGTATAAAAATGATAAATTTTCGTGATGCCACAGTCGGTAAGGACCGAAATACAAAATGAACACACCCACATCATACCTGAGTACAGAAGTCCGTCAGATCCGGATGAACTGTAGGCTGAACATACTGATGAAAGATAGATTCAAATGAGAGGTTTTGACTGTTCAGCTGAATGACGGGGAACTCGATAATTTCCTGCGAGGACCGTGGTTGGATGATATAGTTGGACAACACAAAAAAGGGACAACGTTTCTTAAAAGCATATGGAGGAAGTTGGGTTAAACGAAGGCATGTACCAGGAAATCCATCCATCCATGATAACTGATATCATGATACCCTGCTAACCGGTACGGAATCATCGGGATAAAATGTATACAGAATGATACAAGAAGTAACATAGGTTACCAGACAAGAGTTCAGGTTGGTCTCGATTGAGGAACATGAAGTAAAACTATCAATTTTATTTATCTCCTGGGGTGATATCACTCTGGGCTACTTAAATGCACTTCAAACGGTCAACATTTTGAAACAAATGGCGAGTGTTCTTATTGGGGATGTTTGTTACATACAGCTCAGAGACATGCACATATTACGCTATTTCTACATGGTCTATCAGTTAAATACTATTGAAGTAATGCAAATAGGAATAGTACTGAATGTAGAAATGCGAGAACCAGTAATGTACTGCTCATAGCTGGATTGGCTCCAACCCGAACTGCGGACACCAATGAAATACACGAGGAATTGATAACAGCAAATGCTTATGTTTATTGATAGAATCAGAACATGTTTTATAGAAGGCAATAGTTCATATGATTGACTGAAGGGCCGTCGTCCAATTATGTAGCCGTTTGCGCCGACGCATCATATGTACTAACTCGGATGTCACGTTCGCCTAGGTCCCGTGCAACGGTACTTAAGGATCCTTCTAAACATCACACGGCATCGATACATACATGAAAAACTTCGGTTTTGAAAGATCATCTGCAAGCTTCATTTAACGTAAACGCTCAGTTTATCAGACCACCAAGCACTTAGGAAGATCCAGTGATGCACAGGCTTAAGTCTAGTCGAGACTTGGGACCCGGACTCTTCGGATGACATGTGTCCCCACTGTATCCACCAGAACTGATGAACTTCGAGGATCATTGAGAATCAGAATGATGCTTGTTCCACAGCATTAGTCACTGTGAAGCAAATCGTAAAACGAGAGCGAAATACACGGCTATACTGATCCCCTTCATGGAGCAGAAAAAACATTGTGTGCGTTACGTACCGCAGGTTTAAAGCCTCGTCCCTTGTCACAAGTTGCTTCGAAATCCAAAACGAGGAAATACTTAAAGCGCTGTACTGGTCGACCCACTTTAGTCGCGACAGATCCGAACATTTCTACAAAACAAAACAATGGAAGAAATGTTTTGGCGCCGCGGTAGTAACGGTTAAATTATCAGGACGATGAACAGAACTTATTTTGATAGGACAATGAAAAGTAACACAAAAACCCAGTCAACTAAAACAAGGAAATAACGAATGTACAACAGTCGATCAGTGATTTACTCGTGCAGGGAACTAAATTTTAATGACAAACCCTGAGGCAATCTAAATGAATTCGATAGATTCTGGCCACAAGAAAAGCCAAGTATTCAATAGGGGTCAGCAACAAAAATAACAAACACATGGCACTAGGGAAGAAGAACAAACAGGTGGGTAAACCGATTCCGCATTCCGGTGAGTTATATTTGCAAAAAAAAAACACCAACTTGCCCACCAGTTTATTGATACAAAGCGATATTTTTAGATGTTGGTTGCAAGACTACATTAGTGTCTTATCTGGAGTATGCAGACGAATTTCTACTGCAACCTCCTCCGACTGATTTGAATGATACTGTTACGATGTTCCATATGCGTTTTACATCTTTAAGGTGCAAAAAGATGCTGTAGGAATGGGTTGATTCTGCTCCCAAACTCACCCTTACTGGGAAATTAATACACAAAGGAGACCAATTGGGCCTCCTGCGTAACTATACCTTACTTCGAGGACGCATCACAGATGAGGTTCTGGCACACCCGGAAGGCTTGGTTGGCGTTTGCAAACTTGAGAAGTCTGTGGCGCCTGTACAAGTGGTCGGGTGTATTTTGAAGAAGTTGGGTCATGCTGCTGTAGTGTTAAGACTCGGTGGCTACGGGAACAGGATAAAGATAAATTGTTGGTGTTGGAACAACGCATTGTACAAGTTTGGCGAGGTAACCGGACGGGCAGTGCTGAGGTTAAGCGTAGAGTTTTAGGTAGCGGTCGCTCACTGGAGTAAGTGCTTGATCCCCATAGATTAATTTGGCTGAGGCTTGTGCTACTCATGCTAAGAAACAGATTTACTTGGGGTGTGTTATTTGCCGAGGCAAATAACAGGCGAAAGAATCAAGAGGGGTTTAACTAATACTAGGCATGACGGTATAGAAACCCTGATTTACACATGTAGGCTTCTTGGATAGGGACATTGGGATCTTTGTATACAATGGGTAGGGACACTGAATGATATATCTGTGTCGTAAACAGTATTTGCGTATGAACACTGCTTCCAACAGTCAGGTGTTTCCTAGGGTCCTTCATTTAACTAAGTAGCCCAAAGACAGCAATGAAAACAGTTTCGGGAAGGTTCATCGTATTTCGTTCTGTAGATAGAAAATGAGATTGCATCAGGCTGGATTATCTGAATAGCAAGAGTATCACAAAACGAACGATGACACAATACACTGAGCATTGACCTCAGATCAATGAATAGACGCATCATCTACTCTGTTATTCGTCAGCTCGTTGGATTGATAAATTGTGTTCACAGACAAGAACTCAACGGAACACAGCACGGATTACCAGGTGATCAATGCACAGGACATCGTAACGTCATTAGGGTGGTTTACATCGGTTGCAGAACCCGCAACATTAGTCTAGTGCGTATAATTGCTACCGTTCATATTCAGCATCAAAATTTCCCCCGCACACCAATATACAAAATGGAGGCAACAGGCATTTGCGAATAACTTCCGTTTTGAAGCTGGTGTTGATCCAGCATCCTAAACGACTGGTGGTATCACACTCCAAAATATGAACAAAACATCAATTTGAAGGATAACCATTGACTTTTCTTGTTGTTTTCAAATGGTTAACATGAATATCCTTTAGAAGACAAGCACTCATAGTTAGCGATACAACCACTTCTGGGAAGGTCGAAAATTAAGTTCACCTTATTAAGCTTTCGAAATTAAAGTTCAGAAAATTCACCAGACGAAAGAATATTAGATTGATAAACATACGTTACACCTAAGCAACGACAGGGAGAGTGACTCAATTTGTAAACACCAGATTCACAACCTCCTATAAGGGAGAAACCTGAACTTCACCTACAAGCACCACAAAGGAAGTTTAAGACAAACAATACTAATTAGTCGAATATTTTTTCTACCGTGTAATACAACGTTTATCGTGTTGCGGCTTTCTCTGGTTCACTATTCTGAGACCGATGACTTTAATTACTGGTTCCAATAACAGCAAAATAAGAACGGGTAGTTACGAGTCCACCTGATCTACTATTCAATACACTGAATTATGTGGTGAAATATGTCCGCCTATATTGAATTGTCCATTCTTCCCAAAGAGTGAATGAATCGTTTGACTTGTAGAGAATTACCAACCAGCTTAGTTGACCTGCGGTTGTGGTGGCGCAATAGTTCAGTTGCTGTCACCGGTGTGTTTTGTACCCTATGTTTACGAGGTCTGAACCCCGCTATCGCCACCCATTTTTGGTGGTAGACAGCTTTGCTGTCGTTGCTTTAAACACCGTGCCTAATCCAGTGGGACCTTATGTGGTTCTTCACTCCAAGTCCCCGCGCTGAGAATGCCGGTTTCCAACACTAAATAGCTGGTGTATGCGAATGCGTCTGCCAGTACAGGTACCTACCACCAAATTTGAATGGCGGTGGCGCGTTTTGAACCCCGTAACCATAGGGTACAAAGCACACCGGTGACAGCTACTAAACCACTGCTCTACTGCCCCAGGGCAAATGAGCTAACTTGTAATTCTCTACAAATCGAACCATTTATTCATTCACTTCAATCTTAAGGGAGAATGGACGATTTGTCTAGGTAACTTACATCCTAAAATTGACGAAACGCTCATAGGGAATATCATACAAAAAAACGCGCAAGGCACAGGCCCCACAGCGCGAGTGAAAATATAATCAAGAAAGTGAATTGGTTTTATGCATATTTGCAAGGCAACAATAATATTAAGGCCGGAGTGGTGCCTTGGAGATAAAACAAACACACTTAACCTTCTTTAAGAGCACAACATATCGGCAGCCGGTGCATATGGGTGATGTTGAGGCCGCTGCACCATGCTTAGATATACGGACGAGTATCGAACTATCAGTCCTTAGACAGCTTCCGTCGCTAAAACGGAACAAAACTGCAGGACCGGATGAAATACATCCTGACACCGGAAGGAAATTTGGTGTATAAATTGGCCAGTTTATTTTCTGAATCTCTAGGATGAGGAGTGTTACTAGGGGAATGGTGGAGGACTACTACACAAGTCCAGAGCAAGGCAGATCACTGCCGGTTAGTTACTTCGACATCCGTCCAGGGTGAGTGTTCGGAACGGACTATCAGGAGGTAAATGTATAGGCCTCTGAAGACTGACAATTTGTTAGCACCGACCCAATGTGGGTTAACTGGGAAAGGCCCTGCCTGCCTAATCTAAAAGGGTTTTTGAATGGGATCACTAGAAAGTCGTCAGGTGTAAGTTTACTATGCTCGTTTCTGTAAAGCCTTTGATTCTGTTAGCCGCAAGTTGCTGGTTCGCAATGGGTACGGGAAACTGGTTGGTTCCATTTATCAGCCACTGCACCTGCTGTGAAAGTAACCGATTTCAAGAGTGAAACAGAACTGGTCACTAACGGAGTTCCCCAAGTTTCAGTACTGGCACCTCTATTCTTTTCTATTTTAATCAACCGCTTGGCACAGGATCTCCAAAATCCCTTTTTTATGTTTGTGGGCGACGGACAGATAGCCTGAGCGAATCTAGAGCACGACGTGGAGATATTTCCACAATAGTCGATTCAATGGGAACAGCCACTAAACATCGAAATGTATCAATTTTAAGCAGCAAGAGTTGGCACAACCACAGACAGGCTGTTAACGCCGCAGCATGCAGCGCTGGTGAGGGATTTATTCTCACTAAAAAAATTCAAGCCGGATGCACGATGTCTGAAGGAATCAAAAACCACGTGGCAAACTTCTCAGGTTTTGTGCCACAATTACCTGTTGAAACCCAAGGATTTAGATTCCTTTATATAAGACCACTATTTGCCCATACTTAGAATATTGCATACCGGCATGGATGTCATACTCTAGACAGGATACATTTTGCTTGGAGAAGGTACAACCTTCAGCTACTCCGATGACTGCTGAACAGAGGGAAATAAGCTATGAACAGCTACTAAAAGCTCTTTTCACTGTAATGCAAATGTTTTAGAGGAGATCTGATAAAGCTTTTAAAATATTTCATTAGTCCCTCAGAACACATCGAGAACAACAGCGTGGCATACAAGCACGTTATTTGTAATCAGGCCATTAAATAACGTTAAATATGACTAACATCAAGAACAAAGAGGGACTAAGAGATCCGAGTACTACAGGTTCAGCTCTGGCTTTTAAAGTAAGTAAGAATACCTATTTGGATTTCGCTTGCTACCGGTCACAGCTCTAGGCTCCAACCAAATCACGCTGGGCTTGGAGTTACGAGCAAATTCTTCATATCTCTGTAGAACAGGTTATGCGCACAAATAGTCAACTGCGCCAGTGTTGGAACCTTCAAAGTAGAACGAAATTCATGTTGGTCGGCAATGTCCCTTTAGGTTGACATGTAGGCTAAAGGTATAGTCAGTGGAATTTATTGTAGCGTGCAAGGCTAACACGGGATGTTGTTTTTCTAAAGGTGCTAATTAAAGTCTATTGGTATGCTGTACTCCTTAACACGGCAACGCTTCCGAAACTATAGGGTCCCTCAACGTTGAGGACATCTTTTTATTTCCTGTCCTTCGGTATACATGGAGAATACTTTAAATTCCTCGAAAATGGGTCGGATTGGAAAGGTCACAAGGAATAAATACTTGATACAGTGTTAAAAACCAAGAATACCGTGAACAACACAAAGAACTGAGTGCTCAATCGCTCAGGGCCATAATTCGTCTCGTGAAAACTAGACTGGACTAGATCTTACAGAGGGGTAATCAAAAAGTTGGTTACATTGTCAGAAAACAAGCTTATTCGCAAAATTATTCATTTGTTTCGCGGGTCAATTTGACACGTGTCAACACAGAGTGAAAACCTCTGGGCAACTGATGGAAATTAAGTACGAAGGTGTGACCAGAGAGGGGAATGGTGATAACCACAGGCTCCTAACTCAGGTTTAGTAACGTCTTCGAAATACGAACAAAGTAAAGGGGGCTAAGCTTCATATCTGTAATGACCCCAATGTGATCATGAGAACGGACAGCAAACAACCTAGTGATGGATCAAGTTAGGTTGAACTAAACTGAGTTTGATATCAAGACAATCGACAGCGAAGCAGCTTACCACCAAGCGGAGTTAGTAGTGTTCGGATCAACGGTACACAAAAATCGCCGTCGAGGTGAAGTATGAAGTTAATAGCAGTTTAGACACCGTTAGTCGCGACATTTGTCTTCTTTCTGTTTAATGAAATAGATATAGGAAACTCAATGCTTTAAACCGTTAGTTGCCTCAGGAAGAACAGAATGTGCGATAGCTCTGACCATTAAACAAATCGAAGCTGCTATTTTTCGCTGAGCTGATTTTTTAGTCACCACATTACCTATAATTGGCGGGAAAACGCACCAAATCTTCCGTGAGTTTTGATTGTTACGTTTAGGTAACTTCGAGATCACCAAGCGTGAATACGAGGTTAAAAAACGACAGAAAAATAAACAACTATTACATTCGATAAGGAAAGACAGCTGCAACCTTCTAACAGATTAGAAATAACGATCGCTCAGTAGTTTGCGGTCAGTTCGGGGTTTAGCGTGACCGACGACGGACTCTGCAGGAAGAAACTCGTATTTATGTTTCCGGAAAAGACACAAAACCGAAGGAGAGATTCATCATTCTTGGTCTTCAGTGAAGCAGGCGTTCAAGCTGACGAATGCATTATATTACGCATATCCGGGTGGTGGGAGTGTAAGGACCAATCGGCATACATTGGTAATTGAAAATGGTTTGAAAAGGAAAAAAGGGAAATAAATGCAAACCAAGAAAAATTTGACCAACTGTGCGTGGAGCGTTAGAATGAACAAAAAGAGAAGGGGAGAGAGCTGTACATGGTGATCACATTCCATTCTGTGTTTTATGATAAAAACGAAGAATTAGAGCAAAGGGTGAAGATCGGCTGAACTAGGAGCAATTTCGTCTGCACCAGACGACCATGATAGTGAGTAGTATCAACTGCATCGCGGAGAACAATGGAAGAAAGACCACAGCATAGGTGAGGTTGTGATGTACCCCGCCGACCAGTTTGCGATAGAGGAGTAATTTGAAAAGAAACCAACATAGGGAACAGGACAACGCGTAGACCAGTTCACCAACAAACGCGTGCCAAGAGAACCGATAGTAATTGAAAGGAATTAAATCGTTTTGTCGAATCAATTTGCGGATTTTCTGGGGGAAAAGATGAAGATGGGAAAATAAACATATGAAATGTGGATCAGAAAAACAGAAGCTCGGAAAACACATTAACGTATCACTGCGATGATTTGGTATCAGGTGTTGTGGGTTAGATGCGTGTAACTTCAGTCAAATTGTATAATTGACACAGGGAGTTCAAGTACGAGAATGACCAGACAGAAGACTACCGAATATGCATACCCGACAACCGGTAAAGACCGCGAAACCGGTGGTGTGCTTCTGAGAACTTGTATCAAGTGATTCATACACTACTCATTATACATACATATATGAGTAAGAGTTATAAGTGGGTTGAATGCTATTAAACTGAACAATATAATGGAAAGGTTGCGTAAAAATACAAATAAATAAAACAGGGAATGTTTCGTCGGTAAAAGTAATCTCGGTCGATGGTAAAACAGCACAAACAGATAGGTGTCAAACTAGCAATGATGGTCCGAATACAACCAGATGGACAAATAAGGCTACAACCCCAAAAACCAAATCTAGAAAATTTGTCGTATCTTTTCGTCAGCGAGAATTAGTAAACCCCCCATTACGGTTTTCAATAAAAACGGGTTTGCTTGAGCATACTTAGTGAATACGAAGCATAGATTAATGTTTTACTGTATTATCAGTCAGGTGA